ATGCATAAATCAGGTGGTAATCAGGCAGTAATCAGTTTAAAATCGGGTACCTGATTTGTGACTGATTTTTTATCTTTCAACCTGTGTAAGGAATTAGGATCAACTTAGAACATAGTGACTGCTCTATTTATGTTACTATATTTTTACCTGATACTATTACAGTTTTTGAATCTGATACTGAACAACAATTTTATCAATCTGCTAAAGTTCTTGAAAATATAATTAATGTTCATTTTCCTATATTAACTACTGAGTCCTCTTTTTCTTCCAACAGTACTGATCTTTTAGAAGCTGATTTTTATACTCCTACTCCTAGTCCTATAATTTCTCCTACTGATTTAACTAATCAAAAGTCAGACACTGATAGTATTGACAAATTAGTGCTATCTGGAGCTCTTCCTTTTTATCTATCTGAGGAACAAAAACAAATTTACTCTTCTACCCCAGAAACTATTATCAATGTGGAGAAAGAAAATCTATTCAATAACAACAACAACCAAGTTGAATATATTCATTTATACCCAACTATAGACAATACTCCTATTGTTAAGAAGACCAACCCCAAGATAATATTTTTACAGCAGAAGTTGACTCTTGGAACCCTGCAACTGGCCCACAATTTCGACAAGTTCTACTTCTTAAAGATACTATATTACAACTTCCTGGAGGTTTTCCTGGCCAACAAACTTGGGATCACAATCAAAGTCGACCTACTTCACCTACAGGCTCTGACCGTACTCAAGTCCATACCATTGATTATACAACTTTATTTGCTAATAATGAGTTTGTAGGTGATAGCGAATCTGAAACAACCAAATCGTCTGAAGAGGAATCATCTATAATAAAATCATCTGAAAAGGAATCATCTGAAGTAGAATCATCTGAAGAAGAATTATCTGAATTAGAATTAAGTAGTGAAGAAAAAGATATGGCTACTAATCTAAATACTACTGTACAAGCTTTAACTCGGCTCGCTAAAGCACTTGAACTAGGAGATAATGATGAAAAGAATCTTATTAAAATTGAATCCTTTAAAGGTAATAGAACCCAAGATCCTGTTGACTGGCTTGATGAATTTAAACGTGCTATTAAAGCTAATAATTGGAATAAAACTCGACAACTTGCTTTGGCAAAAGTATACATGAAAGGAATTGCTGAAAAATAGGTTAAAGAATTTACTGATACAACATTGACAGCCTATGATAGTGCTTTAAATACTAGTTTCAAACCTCTCTTCAAAACCAGGTTTAGTGATAATAAACAAAAGGCTCTTTAGCAACAAAGTTTTTTTGAATTAAAACAAGGAACTGATACCATAGATGCCTATGTCGCAAAATTTAAAAATTTAAAAGATAAAATTATTACACTACTAGAAGCTTTTTTTATCCAACATTTTATTAAAGAATTGCATCCTGAACTTGCTATGCCTATACAAGCTGCTAATAGAAATACTCTAGATAGAGTTATTGAAACTGCTAAACAATGTGAAGCAGGAAGACTGGTTGCATCTACCGATACCAACACTACCAAGGCTATTACTCAACTTACCAACCAGATTGCTAAACTCAGTATCAACCTTGCCCAACAACAACAACAACAACAACAAACTGCCTATACCGTTGAAACAGCAAACAGAAAAGGATGTTTGTCATTACTATGGAAAACATAGTATTTTATAAAGGACTGCCATGCCAGAAAAGCAGAAATTAGACAAAATAATAATTTTAGAAGTAACAATAACAGAAATAACAACAGGAACAACAACTATCACCGAAACAACAACAATAACTATAACAACAACCATTATAACAACAATGACAACTACAACAATAATCAGTCTAGTAATTATCAAAGAGATAGAAGTAGATCTCGTAATAGAAGTAGAAGTAGAGATAGAAACTATTCCCAGAGCTACTCTCAAAATAGAAACAAGTTTAGGGACTGAAGTCAAGAAAGATAGGAACCTAGATCTACTCGCTCACCCTCACCCTACTACTGAAATATAAACATGGTTGAAAAATCTAACTCAACTTCTACTCCATCTAAAAATTGGAAAAGACTTTTGGACAACTATTCTATTCGAACTGCACTCATCGCCTATATTACTGAAACAAATCGTGAAATTACTAAACCAGAACCTACCAATAATATTACTCCTGACAAATGTCATGTGGATATTAAGGATCAAACCTATCCAGCTATTAGGGGGCATCCATAAATAACGTTATGTTTGAGGGGGGGAGGGGTATAACAATTTTCCAATATTTAGAGAAGGTTCCCCAAAATATAACATAATTTTTTATAAGAATTTGTCTAAAATTTAATCCAGTGGTCTAAATTGGATGATTTTGGTACCATTCGAATCCTCTCGAGGAGAGGAGTCGAATGGTACCAAAATCATTTGATTTGGATCACTAGATCATGTTTTATTAACGAAATACTATTAGTTATTATGTTTTTTTATAAAATTACTATAAAATCAATAATATTTTATTAATAAAACGTTATCCAGTGATCCAAATAAAATAATTTTGGTACTATTGGATTCGTCCCACAGAGATGAATCGAATGGTACCAAAATCATCCTGATTGGATTACTGGGTCATAATATATCCAAGTTTTTGTAAAATTATATATATAAACATATAGATTTTTAAAATTTTTTTATATAGTCTAGGGGAGGGGTTAATAGCTACTATGTAGGGGTATATAACGTTATATATGGATACTCTCTTATTGATAGTGGTGTATCTGTAAGTATGATTGCCCACAAAACTGTAAAGAAATTAGATCTTAAAATCGATGAACCATCACAAAGTTTAATTGTCACTACTACTGAAACTACATCAAGACCCTTGGGAATTATTTGAAACTTACCTGTAAAAATACAAGGAAGAACCATCCCAATCGATGTAGAAGTAGTACTTGCTACCTCTTACTCTTTACTGTTAGGAAATGACTGGTTTAGAAAAGTCAAAGCAAGTTATAGTTGGAAAACATGCCAATATACAATATATTGGAAGAGGAAGAAAATTGTTTTGGATACTTCCTATGAACAAGAATAACTGAAAAAGAAACAGCCTACATGTATTACTCCTGAGGGTTATGAGTTATACGAAGAAGAATATTTGACACAACATAAGGCCTATGCATCATCTCTTCTTGAAGAGGAAGAAGGATAAACTACTTACCAACCTCATCTTAGAAGTCAATCTCGCTCTAGAACCTTATATCCTTGTAAAACTTGCGGTTTTAAAACCCATAAATATAAAAATTGTCCACAAAATGAATATTATTATTGTCATGAGAAAGGACATATTGCTAGAAATTGCTGTAATAAGCAAAACAAAAGAGCTAATTGTAAAAATTGTAGTCAGAATAATTACTTATTTAAAGACTGTCCTCAAAACCTATATTTTGGATGCCGACAAATTGGACATATAGAAATTAATTGCCCATTAGCTCAATATAAATTGAATAACCTAACCTACCACAGTGGATGTGATCGAACTTAGGTAGAAGCCAGAAGACTTGTCCATTTTAGTAAAAGAAGAGCCCACCATTGTTGTAAATGCTATACCCCGCAACAATCTGATGAATTACATCTTTATGATAACCAACTTATATGTACTGGCTGCTACAAAACTTACTACCAAAGCTTGGAATTGGATGACCCCCGAAGCCAAGAATATTATTGAACTGGATTAGGAAGAGGAACACTTACCAATTGTAAGATTTGTAATTGCCAACAACCAAGATCCAAAATGCATTATTTGGAAAGCATTCAAGAAGAACTTTGGTTCTGTAAATTGGAACATATGTATGCCTATAAAATATGTCAAGACTTACAATATAATCCGAATTATGAGATTTGGATAAGGATTAGGCACTATACAGAATCTACTCGTAATGCTGAATATCAATATAATCTAAACCAAAGCAGAATCTATCGAATTACTCAAGCTCTATTGAGAAATGCATCTCAAGCAGAAATTTCAAGATTAATGCAAGAACAAGATACTAATCAATATAACCGAGATTGGACCTCTGAAGAAATTACCGTTCTCCTTAGATCAGATCTTGAACAAGTAAATCTGACAGAAGATGAAGAAACTACCTTGCAACAGATTTTACAAGAATCTTTTAATACTTCGCAACCTGACTTTGATTCTTGTAAAGTAATAGAAAATTTGTATATAAACTTTGAAGAAAAACAAATCTTAGAATTGGATTCTAACCAAGGATTTTGCAATAAGTATTACCAAGAAATTGAAAAATTAACACTCTCTCAAGAAATAGAAGAAAAAACAATTACTTTTCTAATTGTACTAGAAGGAGAACCAGAACCTTCGAACTACTACAATCAAGTGAAAGATAAAGAAAAAGAAGTAGAAACGGAATACTCATTACTTTCAGAATTACCTTTTTTACTAAAAGAAAAGGAAGAATTACCTTTTTCACTAGATAAAATACTCAAGAAAAGAATAAATATACAGACCAAGAAACTCAGTTAATTCTCGAATGTTTGGAAGTACGTGTTCATTACTTAGAGGAAATGAATAAACAACTTAGTAACTTCTTTAAGGAACAAATTGTACACCACCAACAACGAGCAGATTATTACTTCTGATTATTTTTGTCCCAACAAAATTTTTAAGTAATCCTAGGCAAGATGAAAAACTACCTGAAGACTTAGAAGAATTACCTACAAAAGAGGAAGCTTTGCAACTGGCTTTGCAAAGGAATACTATAAAATCTAACTTTGTATATACCATAGACACCCAGATCCCATATGAGAAATACGCATTAAAAAAGACAGACATGGTTAATGTAGAACTACTAACTAAAGAACAAGAACAGAAGTTTAAGAAATTACTTGAAGAATTTGCAGACCTTTTTGCAAAAGATATTTCAGAATTAGGACAAACTGACTTAGTTCAGCATAGAATATACACTGAAGATGTGCCTTCAATTAAACAATGACCTTATAATGTATTACCTAGTGAACAAGAATTTATCAAGAAAGAAATAGGAAGAATGTTAACCAGCAAAATTGTTCAACCATCTAAAAGCCCAAGCCCCTGAGCATCACCTGTTGTTCTCGTACGCAAGAAGAATAGAAAATTGAGATTCTGTGTTGACTACAGAAAGCCCAATAGTGTTACCAAAAAGGACGCTTACCCTTTACTATGAATTCAAGAGATGTTAAATACACTATCCAGATCACGATGGTTCTCTAGAATGTGCTGCTATAGTTTGGGCTATAGAGCTACCAAATTTACTCTTGTCACTGTTAAAACCGTTGAATCTAAAGAACGAATTGGATGATAGATTTTGAAACTACAACTCTACAACTTCACTATCAAACATAAACCAGAAAGGATTCACTTCAATGTGAATGCTTTATCAAGACTCTGATTTAAATTTTGTATTTTTCTATTATGAATTTAGATCAATACTATAATTTATATAACTATTTGCATTTGAATACTATACCTATGAACTTTACTAATTATCAACGGAAACAATTACAGAATCAGGCAAGATATTTTCAAATTAAAAATAACTTGCTATACAAGAAAGATCCAGATAAACCTTTATGAGTAATAAAGTGGACCGAAGTAGACCCTGTACTTTACATGATGCATAGTCACTATACTGCTGGACATTTAGGAATCGACACTATGTATTATAAGATTTCAGAACGCTATTATTGGGACCAAATGTATAGAGACATTAAAGAATATATAAAAACATGTAAACAATGCCAAAAATGAGACAAAACATGAATAAAGAAACCTCTCTACTCTATTAAAATTGGACAAGCTTTCGAACAAATCGGAATTGATCTAGTTGGACCTTTACCAATT